TAAGGATGGGAGTTAACCTTTTTCCCACATCCAGGATTTTGATTTATCTATAAATCCTCATTTAGAAGTTGCTTTTAAACTAATTTAATTACTTTTTTTAAATTAAGGGCAATTACAGAATGAAGCTACATTTCTTCTTTTCCCTGAGGGAAGCACAAGAAATAAGGATTTCCACTGAGTTCATCTGCTGCTAGGTGTTCGCTTTGCATGTATAGGATTTTGACTGAAGCTTTGACTCAGGATGATCAACCATGCTGGTAGTTTGGGGCTGCACAGGGCTTGTGGTCCAGGTTAAAAGATCTTCATAGCATAGAAGCATGGCTAAGCCTAGAATGTTAGTCTGCTGGAGGCAGATATGAAGCAGGATCTGCAAATCAGTTACAGATCAGTGACAGGTAATATAGCAGACAACATTTAGTTACAGAGATGCCCAGTCACATGCCCAGTACATTGGATGGTGGCTCAACGTCACTGAAGTAAGTAGTTACTAATAGCAGTTTGACTACTGGTCAGTGACAAAAGTCCGTTTATATTTCCTGATCAAGTGGTGCTTGATTCCAGCACTGACTACATTGATTGCATATGTCACCATGCCTGTTTTTACTACAAATCACCGAGCCATTGCAAAAATGATGCTACTGTCTTCAGTTTTAGGTGCTGTTTTTCAGGCAGCTGCACTTAAATTCTCAGGAGGATCACACCTGGTGCTTGGTGCTGCACAAGATAGACCCCATCACAGGATAACATTGGGTCTGCAGTCAGGCTGTGCTAGATAAGTGTCGAGGATGTAAAATGTCAGTCAGTAATGGCAGATACCATCTTCAAAGGCTGCAAGTCCTTGTATCAGAGACACCAGCCAGATTCCAGCTTTCTGTACGGCCTGTTCTGTCCACAATAGCTTAAAGGGTACAGCAGCTCTTGGTGCTGACTGTAAAATATAATTTTGGACCCAGCTGAAGTAGGGCTTGGATCCAAAATTTTCTTCAGCTGAGCACTGACAATCTACATAAGTCCCAGATTGAGCCCCACATTAGCATCCGTCTGAAGGGCGACTTTGTTTTTCTCGGGTTCTCAGAACTATTTGTATCTGAACTGCAGACATGACCTTTGAAAAACAGAGAGATTTATTTATAATTGGCTAGATTTGCAAGCTTGCTTTATTACATTATTTCCTGCCCAGAGTTTCTTAATACTGAATAGAAATGATTATGAAAACTTCTTACTTCAGGGCATTTCCAGGCAAGCAGGGCTGAAGCAGAACCTGTCATTGCTGGTCCAGTTTTATTTCTGGAAAAAAATCTGCTAAACTGTGCCAGGGTTCAAGTCCACGAGGGGACTGCATACATGCATAACATTCATGCACGCACTTTGTTAGTTCCAACTCCTGTTGTTGGTCTTTCAACCTGATGCCTTTAAACTATGCATAAGCAGTTATTCTGCTAACTCTATGATTTTCCTTCTTTTTGCAGTCATGTAAAAAGTATTTTACGTATGTATCTCAGTGTCAGGATTATTCCTATTTTTCTGTTTGCCAGCTCACTTCACGTTAATGGAGAAAAACTGTGAGTGGGGGAGAATCAAACTCAGCATGAAGTGTGGGATTTCAGCCTAAAATGTAATATGGAATCTTTACCTCAGAGCAGAACTGTTGTATCTCCTGCCAGAAAACAATACGGGCTTGGCCAACTAGGGATTAGCTGTTATTATTCTGGCTTTTTGTTGCTAATATTTTCTTCACTAAGCCTATCAGGAGGATAAAAAGGAAGCCCAGTTAAGGATGATCTGGGACGTTATAGGGTGAGACAGCAAAGAACTGGGCAGGGAGCAGATACTGACCTAACTGATGATTTCCTCATTTTGGTGCTGCATGGCCCATGTCTCCCATATACTGTACAAAGCCTAAGAAATCTCGCAGTTCTGCATGATTTACCTCTACTGCCATGAGTTATTTAACTACTATAGCAATGAACTTCATAGGAATACCTTTAAAAATATGTAAGAGTTACATTGAAAGCCTTTTGAAGATATAAGTACATTTTCTTGATTTTTAATGAGGTTTGGTTTAGACTGTCAGGGCACTAAAGGGAGCCACTTCTGACATTTTCTACACTTTGCAGCTCAGGTCTCTGAACACGCTTCAGCAATTTGAGCCTCTAAGGATTTCAGTGTGGAAAATCTGTGCTTCATTACCCTTCTTTAAGCAAAGGGAGCTTAATATATAGTAGAAATGCATATGAAAACTGCTTGCTTCAGATCAATTCCAGGCACAACCTGTCGCAGTGATTAATTTTTGTTCCTGGTAGGAGCTCTTTCCTAACCCTTTATGAATTGAAAAAGACTGCATCTGCCTAAGTGCCCCAGGATATACTAAGAACAAGACTAAAATGCACTAAAAAGGAAGATTCTATCCCACAGAAACTCCAAAATTTTAACATTGTTTCTAGTTTCAAGCTGAGATGAAAAGTAGACATTTCAAAGCAATTAAAAAAATAAGGAGAAATTGGAAATTTATTTCATTGAATTTATAAGATTCTAAAATTGTTTTAGTGAATTTAACCAGACCAGTTAAATTAAAACACATCTATAATACTGTATACATTACTATGTAACTGTACTGTATGCAGTATAAATTTTAACCGTTCATGAAAGATCTCCATGTTGTTTGTCGCCATTTTTTATGCCATATACAGACAATAAATGTCCTCAAAAAGAGCAATGAATCTCAATATAGCTTCCTTTCACACCTGAAATTTTCCTCGCAGTTTTCTCTACAAGTTGCGACCTAGCCCACAATTGCTCAAGTATAAATCAGAGTTGAGCCTATGGCAATATGAAAGCTGATGATTCACAGAGTTAAAAAGGTTTTAAAGCAGTAAGGGCTGATTTTGAAATCAGTTGGTTCATACCTGGATTTCAAGTCCAGCCTTTTCACGTATGAGGAGTTCACAGGTTCCCTCTGAATAAGTGAATGTATGCAGCTTTGCATTCCAGTAAAAACTGAACCTTTGATGTCATCAGAAATGATGTTATGCACAAAAGGGGATTTTGTCCCTCTTTCTGATAACAAAGATTCTTTACCTGGACCCTTTCCCCTTGGATACTTGTGAACTGTGATGTACATGGTGTGGATTTGTCTGATCTGCAATCACTGTATCATACAGTTTTCAGGTCAAGTATGGAGTTCTTTCAGATCTTGTCTATCAGAGATATTCTTTAAAATTTAAAGCAAATCAGTCTGCTTGTAATGAATCTGCTTAAGCTACTGTATGTGTGTTCCTACTCGGAAGTAACGTTCATCTAAATTTATTATGCTACCACTGACAGGATTCATGAATATTTACTTGGGAGCTCTTTATGGAGGAGCCACAATCAAGAAAATCTTAACTTTTTTATTCAGTTATTTTACTATTATTTGTCTTGGTGGTTTTAACATGATAAAATGTCCTTGCAGTCTTGTTTTGGCCACATTTTAGGGAAATTTATCATTTTGGGTGAAATATTACTCCATAACCTTCATTAATTTTCACAATGTCCCTGTAAAATATTGGAGAAGCATATGGGATTGACCCAGTTTTAACCTAGCAGAAACAAGTAAAGTCAAAGAAATTTGGTGATAGTTTTCATCAAACCTGAATCTAACCTATTCTGTTTTAAATTAAATTAATTATGATATCACTATTACAGATAACCAAGTAAACTTCACCACTTGTAAGCTAAGAGTGTTAGTAATGGGACTTAAACTGCTGCAAGTAAATACGAAGTATTGATCAATGCCTCCATTTGCTCAGAAAAATACAGAGGAATTGTCAAAACTCCTTGGCACATCTTTCCTTGTCAGCAGTCTGAAACTGTATGTAAAGATTTGCACATAGAAGACACGCAACTGAAAAAGTTTATAGTTTTGTGGTCAAGTCAGAAGTGCAGCTTGTGCTGGATGATATTACCCTGGAAAATAACTGCTTTCCTGTTGGCCTACCTGCTGTATAACTTTTTAACACTCATCTCTCTGATTTTAATTGAAAATCACAGATGCAGGAGAATTTAGAGCTGAAATAAGCCCTTTATTCCAAGTCATCTATCTTTATGTATACTCTGTGCATGGCTAAATGGCACAAACCCTTTAAAAGCAAAATTTATACAGTTTTGTGTTTGTTTGTTTTTTTCTTTTCATAGTTTGCTTTGCAGGCCAGAATGCTAACAAGCCTTTTATTTTTAATAGGTGTAAAGGTAATCTTAACACTGAATTGATTAATTTCTTGGATTTAAATTATTTGCGTTAAAATATCATAATTTGGGCCCAGAAGTCGAAGTTGGAAAAAAAGGCCTGTAATAGTACTGCTCTGAAATATATATATATGTATATAGCACTAATTCTCCTGGCAATTATGGGTTGTTTGAGAACTTAGTAGGCCCAGTTTGCTATCCAATTTTTAACATTTGAACAAAACAATTTACCTATAAGCATAAATCAAATTTCAAAGCATAGAATTGCACTCCTGACTCTCCTTTGTTTTAATGATTTCATCCTTCTCTATCAGAGCTTTAACAATATCTGAAAAGAAGCCTTGATTGTGTGGAGTGGGATTATTATCAAATATAATTAAAAGCACATGGTTTTCCCAAGTGCTTACTAGGTAAAACTTTCCTGAGATCACTTTTTTTTTTTTTTTGAGGAGCTCAAGGAAGTATAATTTATCAGAGAACACTGATCAAAAAGTATTCACAATAGCCTAAAAAAAACATTCCAACACTACTCTCTTCTTTCTCTGCACTGCAAAAGCCATTGAGTACTAACCTGCTCACTACCTCATGTCAAAATTCAGTTCGAACTCCCAACCAGATTTTTTTCAGCCTCTTTCATTGCTAACATATTTTGTCGCCCTCTAGAAATTTGAGAGATTTGATTTGAGAGATATTTGGCAGTAATTAGTTGGAGAGATGGATCAAGCAGTCATTCAGTAGGTCCTCATGCTGAACTGCACATCTTTCTTTCTTGCCAGATTGTTGGCTGTGACCGCCAGCTGGGAAGCGCTGTCAAGGAAGATAACTGTGGGGTCTGCAATGGTGATGGGTCCACCTGCCGGCTTGTTCGAGGCCAGTATAAGTCCCAGCTCTCGGCAAATAAACGTAAGCTGTCCATTTTCACCATCTAGCACCCTGGCTGTCAGATGCTGTCATATCACAAGGCCATGGGTGGGCAAAATGCCATCCTCCCCTCTTAGGGCAGCAGACGTTTTCTGTCAGGTAGATTTCTGCTCGCTTTCTCATGGAGACAGTTGAAGGAGTGCAGCCAAGGGAATCTTTCCGATCGTTTCTTCCCTCTTAGGCTAAAGCAGGCTTGCACAGACCATGTCTCTGGCTGTGAGGGCAGACAGAGGAACACAAGGAGTTGACACACAGCGTATTTCCCCAGCTTGAGCTAACTGGACAGTTGGAAAGAGCAGGAAGATGAGAAGAACATTGGTTCTACCTATGCAACTCAGACTAGGTTAGTAGCCACACTGAAAAGAGTGTATTTTATGCTGCCCCTGGAGTGTGAAGAACCAAACAGGAGGAGCTTTGTCACTGTCCTGGCACAGCGCTCCTTCCCAGAACTGTGCCTGTGATAGCAGTAGGTGCTGAGCTGCTTGCACTGTCAGCCTGGTGACACAGTTCTGACTCCAGGTCATTCCTGTGTGGTAACTGCAGACAGATGTGTGCTTTCTGGCACAATCCCCAAGGAAGTTTTGAGCCAGCTTCAACTTGAAAGCTGTATAGTAGCATTGTTGTTGCACAGTGACAGTGCCTGACTTCCGGGATCCTGACTTGTTGGCCAGATTGCAGTGCCATGGATGGAGCTATGATAGTCTGGGAATTAGACATAGGGCATGTCTGCCTAGTCTGAAGAAGGCACAAAAGTTTGTGGGTCATCACTTGTGCACACATATGTGAGGAACTGTGTGTGTTAATCTGCAAACCTGCCCCAGTGCTACCCAGTTCCAGTAGAGTCCAGTCACCATTTTTGAGCACTTTTTCAACGGTAATCAGTACATGACCTAAAACTTTCTAATGAGAGTTAGTATTCCCTGAAGGGTGTGTGTGCATAAGCTTATGGATTCATGCATATACAACATTCATTTTCTGTGAGGAGAAGAGAGGTACTTTTTGCGGAGTCCTCTCTCTTGTCAAAAAGGAAGAAGGAAGACACTGTTTTACCATGAGGAAGGAAAGGAATAATCCTCATATGAGTTTCACTACTGAGACAGACATGCATGTTAGAGAGCACAGGAAACAATTCACAAAGACCGTGAATGGAATTTCACCTCGCTGTTACCAAAGCTCCAATGCTCATGAACAGATTCTGAAACCTCCAGGCTGTTGAGACTTGATATTATTTGTGAACTTTTTTGGCAGATGTCTTTTCCTGTAGGAATATTTTATTGTTATTCAGTTCTATTGTGGTAAAATGTTATTTCTTTCTTTTCTACTGAGGATCAAGGCACTAATATGTTAGGCGCAGTACTAATATGCTTCTAAAATACAGGTCCTACTTCCAGTGGTTTACTATAAAATATAGAATAGAGAATATAGGCAGAAGAGCAGATGGCAGAAAGCATGGTCTTAGAGAGAGGGAAATGTGAAAACAATTTTAGAGAACAAATTGTTCAGACACATTTGCTTGCAAATAGTGGTTTTACAGAACTGATGATGATCAAATTTTATAACCACTCTTTCTAAGCTATTTGGCCCTGGTCCTAGTACTGACCCCCTCCTACTCTCCAACTAGACTCAACTCCATTTATCACCACTCTTTGGGCTCTGCCATCCAGCCAGTCCTCAATCCACATCACTGTCCACTTGTCCAGTCCACACTTCCAGTGCTTTCCCATTAGTTTGTTATGGGAGACTGTGTCAAAAGCCTTGCTGAAATCAAGGTAGACAACATCCATAGCTCTCTCATCGTTCATCCAGCCGGTCACCTCATCGTAGAAGGCTATCAGGTTTGTCAGACGCAACTTCTCCTTGGTGAATCCATGCTGACTACTCCTAATCACCCTCTTTTCCTTGACATGCCTAAAGATGTTCTCTAGGATGAGCTGCTTCACCACCTTACAAGGGAGGGAGGTGAGGCTGATCGGCCTGTAGTTTCCTGGCTCCTCTCTCTTGCCTTTTTTGAAGACTAGAGTGACACGTTGGTTTCTTCCAGTCCTCTGGCACCTCCCGTGCTCTCCATGACCTCTTGAAGATGATGGAGAGCGGCTGAGCAATAACCTTGCCAGTTCCCTCAGCACTCTTGGGTTCATGCTATCTGGGCTCATAGTTTTGTGGGTGTCCAGTTTCCCTAAATAATCCCTAACCCAATCCTCCTTGACTATCAGAAAGTCCTCCCCTCTCCTGGTTCTCTCTCTTGTCTCTGGACTCTGTAGTTCATGGGGACTAGCCTTAGCAGTAAAGGCAGAAGCAAAGAAAGCATCTAGTAACTCTGCCTTCTCTGCATCCTCCCTCACCAAGGCACCCTCCCTCTTCAGCAAGGGACTACCATTTTCCTTGGTCTTCCTCTCACAGCTGAGGTATTTGTAGAAGCTCTTCCTGCTGTTCCTGTCATCTCTTGCTAACTCTAATTTCAAACAGGCCTTGGCCTTCCTTGTTGCATCCCTGCATTCTCTGATGATGTTCCTATATTCTTCCCAGGTAGCCTGGCCCTTCTTCCACATTATTCTACACATTCTTTTTCTCATTAAGTTTACCCAACAACTCCCGGCCCATCCACTCAGGTCTCCTGCCCGCCTTACTCAATTTCTTTCTTATAGGAATGCACCAATCCTGAGCTTGGAGAAAGTGGTGTTTGAATATTAGCAAACTCTCCTGAACCCTCTTTCCTTCTAGGGCTCTTGCCCAGGGGATTCCTCCAAGATGCTCACTGAAGAGGTCAAAGTTAGCTCTCTTAAAGTCCAGGGTTGCAATCCTACTTCTTGTCCAGCTTCCTCCCTGCAGGACTGTGAATTCCAACATCTCGTGGTCACTGCAACCAAGACTGCCCCCAACCTTCACATTTCCCACTAGACCATCTCTGTTTGTTGGTATCAGGTCTAGCAGCACCCCTCCCCTTGTTGGCTCATCAAGCACCTGCGTCAAGAAGTTATCTGCAATGTTCTGCAGGAACCTCCTGGTTGTCCTGCCCTTTAATCCTCACCCACAGACTCTCCACCCACGCTTCGTCCTCCCCTGTGCTGAGCTTCATACATTCCAGTTGCTCTCTCACGTAAAGAGCAACTCTTCCACCTCGTCTTCCTGGCCTCTCCTTCCTGAAAAGCCTAAAGCCATCCATGGCCACATTCCAGGCATGAGTTATCCCACCACATCTCAGTAATTGCAGTGAGATCATGGCCCTGCAATCACACATGCATCTCCAGTTCTGCTTGTTTATTTCCCATACTGTGTACACTTATATAGAGGTATTTGAGTTGGGCTCCCAGTGTGCCTCTCTTTCTAGCTGGGACAGCTGCAGCTTGACCATGTGGGCCTTCAGAAGCTCTCTTGTTTTCCCATCTCACCTCTTCAGGCTTAGCACACCCTTCACAGGCTATGGAGTTAGGCGGCTGCGAGTAGTATGGTAGGCCATCGCCTACCCCATAACCTGCTTCCCCAGTGATACCCTCCTTCTCCTCTCAATGAGCCCGGCTAGCTCATGTCCCAGGACTCTCTTCCCCTTTGAGAAAGACGGATCCCTTTAGATTCCATCATGCCTGCTGTTGTGTAAGGCTTCCTGTTACTGAAGAAACCAAAGCTGTGGTGATGACACCAACCATGGAGCCACATGTTAATGGACTATATCCTCCTATTTCTTTCTGTATTGCTGCTAGTACTGGGAAGAATGGAAGAGAATATGATCTGCGTGGCTGAGTTCCTAATTATCTGCCCCAATTCCCTAAAGTCCCTTTTGATCACCCTCAGGCTTCGCCTTGACGCTTCTTCTCCTCCCACATGTAGGATCATTAATGGATAATAGTCTGTGGGTCTAACCAGGCTGGGAAGTTTCCAGGTGACATCTTTAACCCAGACCCCAGGCAGGCAGCAGACTTAATTTTGAGTATAGAAAAATATAGATGCTTCTTCCAATTGACTTTTCACAAAAATAATACCATGTTTGCTTTACATTTACTTTTCAGTTTTAGTGTGTGTGTTTTACAAGGTTTCAGTCCCAAATATATGTACTACCTATGAGGAATTAAAAAGCTAAAGACCTCTGAAAAATCCAATCTGTGCGTATTTTCCACCTTATTCTCCTCAGCACAACTCAAATATCTGTCATATTACCATTTTGGTCTGTCTCTTAACATCTTGCTTATTTACAGCTGTAAATGCAGCTACATAAACATTCCTCAGATGACTGTATTACTTTTGGTTAGTCAATAGCTTAATTCCAGATGATCTCTATAAAAGAATGAAAGACATTTCATCAATAACGGTGTCTAATTCTTCCTCCATATGAAGAAAACACTAAAAGCGTATGTGTTCTATACTGCTATATAACATAAAAAAAAAAACAGAAGGAACATATGCAGTGACCTGTCATGAACATAAGTTTTCTTGAATATAGGATTTTTATTATAAAACACCAGAGCATTCAGTTTTTAGGACTGTGAAAACGAAACCACACAGTGACCTTTATTGCAATGTTGTCACAAAACTTTCTGGAAGTTATTTATTGTCTCAAAACAAGCCCAGACATAGTGTTGAGCTCATCACATTGAACTCATTTTCTCTTAGTGTTCATATCCAGTTCCCTCTCTACACTGTTTACACCATACAGAGGTGTGGGAAAATGATAATACTCGAAAAAAATTCACAGAGATTTAAAACAGTTAGCGCTTGCCACAGAAACAACTTCCTTATTATTTATAGGGATAGTATCCATCTCCCAGAGACCTCTGAAATGGAAACACAGCAGGGCAGGAGGCAATGTCTCCTTGAATTCTCTCTTACATTTTACGAAAAAGGAAACCTGCATCTGTGCTCCTTTTTCTATTAAAAATTTAGAATAAAAGTACAAAAGACTTCATTCCATAAATAACCTTTGCACTTAACCCTGAGCTTAGATAGGTCAGTCTTACAGACCTTATAATTTTTTTTAAATAATCTTGATTTGGAAAAAATGTAGATCGACTACACAGATGAATTCAAGCTGACTTCTTTGTATTCACTGAGTACTTAGAGAACTGTCCCGCTGGAGCAGTGGATGAATTCTGCTGATCACCTCATGCAAAGCTAAGGCTGCTAGTATTTCTGCAAAAGGGGAAATTATCTATTAGTGTACAATTTATGTGAGTAGGTTACTATAAAAGCAAATAATAAAAATTGCTATTCTGAAGATAGCTGTCTAACAGATATCTTCTGATTGCTCTTGCCATTAATTTCAAAAATAGATACAGTTCCTCATTTCAGTTTAATATCAATAGTAATGGAAAGATAGGACCAAGTCTGTTTTTCATCATGCGAAATAATGGTTGGACTGTACAGACATTGGATCAGAATGCAGAACAACAAGCAATAGATCTCTTTGGTACAAGTACCTGACATACTTTGGCTTTGTCCTTTCATCTTTTCCACAGACTTGGTCCACCATCATTTCAGTTATCTGGGACTCCCTCTTGACTTTCCCATGCATCTTCTCCAGAGAAAAACAACTGCCTGTTAACCTGTTAACCTGCTTTTCTTCAGAGCACTCCATGGACTGCTGCGTACTCTGGATTTCTGCCTCTTGATTGTCTGAGGAAGCTGTGACAAAATATTCCTATTTCAAATTTAAGTGACTCTTCACAGGAAAAACTCTTCAGTCTTATCACTGCTAGCCCCAGAAGATTGTCTTCCAGACCTTACTACCTCTGATTTGTGAAAGCAGGAAGCAGTATGATAAACATAAATCTCATTTCACATGAGGTGGACTAAGATTTCAAATACAGAGCATCAGAAAGATCAGGTGAAATATAGTCCGGAGCAGGAGAGACATGTTAAGATTATACGATATATAAGCTTTCATAATCTTTAAATTGTATGATTTTCAAATTGCTCTGTGACATGACAGTAAGTTGTCAACTATCCAGCACAAAACTCATAACTGTGAGAGATCCAAGGCGATCAAGTGTAATAAAGACACAGAAAAGTCTAGTAATTGTTTTAAGTAAGGTTTATAAAAGGAATATTAACACTTTTTGCAAACATTAAGTTACTGTTTTTCCAGACTGACTCCAATAAATTTCATACATACAGCAAAATGGTATGTAGTAATCTGCATAGCAATATAAAATGTCTATGTTTGTGAGTATAAATGATACCAGAGACATCTATAAGCAGAATGTATATTGAACCTGATTTAATCTCAGTGTTCCATAACTCTCTGGAGACATTGAAATTCCCAGGTAGCAAATTCTGAAAACAAAGATCAAGTTCAGAAGATCATGTTCACAAACACAGGCATTACCTCCAAGCACCTCCTCTGGTACAATTTATCAGGCTTCCCTCAGAGATACTAAAAGGCAATGAGAGTACGGAGACTTCAGCTCATAAAGATCTCCAGTAGAACGCTGTCAGAAATTCCTATGGGTCATGACTGCATTTAAAATCAAAAAAAAAAAAGAGGTTCTCATTCATGAATTTAAGATATAATAAGTTCGGAAGAATTAACTTCCTTGAAATAAGTCTCTATTCTACATCTTGAAGGTTTCTTTCTGTTGCCTCTATTCACTCTTCAGCATACATGTTCTTCTGCCACTCTTGAATACAAACACATTTGTGCAAGCTACTACAAGATCTTCTAAAATAGCTGCAGGACAACTCCCTGATTTTTGGTTTTGCAATGTCTATGCATTGGTTTTCATTTATTTTAAAAATAACTTCTTCCCATCTTCTAACATCATTTTCTAGCATTATTTGCTCTCCAACCTACATTTTTAATGCACTTATGAAGCAACAACATTTTCTTTTTAGAAAGTCATTTTGATGCATTGTCATATGGTAGATAAACTTGTGGATGCTGTAGCTTAGATACAGCGAATGGAAGGACAAATTCTTCCAGTCATTGCAATGGAGTTATATGTCAGAAGTGTTATGTCCATTGCAATGTCACCATTATTAACTATTTTATCGAGTTTAGTTAGGTTGGAGTACTTTCTCCACTCTGTTCAGAAAGCTGTGGTCAGAGTCTGTATCTCCAGATGAAAGGGTATGCTTTTAGTGGCCGACTTAGTACCTAGCTTTTACCTCACAAAGTAACGTTTTGAATGCGGTGGGAATTGCATGACAGAGATGTGAGCACAGTTCTAATGAATATACAGTGAAAGAGGCTTAATTCCTTGCATATCTACACCTGTCACCAAAACATTTTTTCTCTCCTGACTTGTAGGTTTATTAAAAGGATGCAAAAAGGACAGGGAAAGACGAGTGGTTAAAGCAGGTCAGCGCCCTGGTTAGTGCAGGCCAATGTTCCTACACATCCCCTCCTGATGCAGCTTGGAGTGTTTTCTGATGTGATTTCCTGTCTCACTTTAGGATATTATTGTTATTGCTGGCTCTTTGAGGTGGCTCATCATCATCTGTCTGATGTAAATAACTTGCAGCAGCAGTTGAACTAGATGTTAATTCACATTCTCAGTTTAGCTGCATCTCATCAAACTCACAAGAATGTTACTTGTGCAAGATTCTACTCTAAGACTTGCTCTTAGACATGTGACGGTGTAACAGGGCCTCTGTTTGCCAAAGGCTTTTTGTCAGTGATGCATAACGGGAAACCGATTTATAGCACTTCTAGCCAAGGTCATTCAAATATAAGGTGTGAATAGGAATGCAATCCTGAGGGCAGCCGGAGATCATCACATAGCTTGGCCAGGGATGTGGAGAAGCCTTAGGGGTCAGCTGGGAAATGGTCAGTTAAAGAAATGGGTAGTTCTGATTAAGCATCAAAATAGGTTTATGCTTCTCTACTTCATAAAACAAACAAACAAAATCAGTTGAAGTAATATGGAAGGATTTTGATAAGAACGATGATAAAAAAGAAAGCTACCAGCTACTCTTCAAATCCAGAAATGATTGCGAAGGAGCTGAGGATAAAAAGAAAAAAGGAACAGATCTGAGTTCTTTTAAGAAGAAGCATTCTTAACCAAATTTAACAACAGGGTTCTTTTTAAGAAGACTTACAGTTCTCTCATAACTTATATGGGATTTTTTAGTAGTCCCAAAAGCTTTTTTTTTTTTGCTAGCACTTATTTCACTGCTTATTTGAAAACAGATGGTGATATCTTTGCTTGTTGATTCCATACATTTTTACCTTTTCCCCAGTGGAAGACACAGTGGTTGCTATTCCGTATGGAAGCAGACATGTTCGCCTTGTGCTCAAAGGACCCGATCATTTATGTAAGTAGAAAAAGCCAGTGTATACTTGTTTAAGAAAGTCTCGCTAACCTGCAGTGCTTTGTTTACAGTGTGGTGTCTGGTTTCTCTCTCTCACATCACTGATCTCGACACACAGGGTGAGTGCTGCCCTCAGAAGCTCTCATCAGCCTCATTACACTGGTGGTACATGCTCATCTCAGAACAGAGTTTGGCTGGTGTTGCAGAATCCTTTACTCCTCTGCAATTTTTCAGACATTGCTGTTTGTTTATCCTTTGGTTGGTTCAATTGGTGCCAAGTGCTTTTGTTTAAAATTCATAAAATATATCCCACTATGGAGAAATATTCAGGACTGTAAAATTCAGGCTTCCCTACAGCTGAGCTTAGCCACCAGGCTGCTCGTAACTTTATACATTTCTATTAAGATAATCTCTGTCATTCCCACAGACATTCACAAAGACACAATTGCACCCACGGAAAATCACTGTGAGATCCTGCACAGAAGGAGCATGTGCATATCAGTCCATGTACTTTTGGAGTGATGAAGCCCCAGGGAGTTAAGGCCATTGATTTTGCACTTGCTGAACACTTCTTCCCTGCTTTGCCTGAGAAGGAGCTGTGTATCCCAGTGGCCTGTCTGGAAGAACAGTCTCTGCATTTGGGAATATGCAGAGAGAGAACACTCATCTTTCTTGAAGAGAAGATTCTTTACTGCCAATGCAGTTACTATGGGCAAGCTGTTCCTTTTTTCATCAGCAGCATTGAACAGAGGATGCTGGCAAATTGGGCTTACTGCAAGCTCATTTAAGCAAGTGGCTGCAGACCGTAAAGCCTGCATAAACTGTCAGAATCACAAATTACTCTGAAAAAAAGTAGATCTACCCTCCTGTTTTTCAAAAAAGTAATGCAACTTTCCTGCAGCACAGATCCAGTTTCAGTCCTGTGTGTTTATCAATATAAATACAGTCATTAGTTCAGCAAAGAGGTGAAACAAAATAATTTGTTCCAAACTTTGTTTTGCAATGAGCTGGTATTGACTGGCAAAATAAAGAGTGAATTCTGTTATGTATTCCACTGTATATGTTGAAGAAAGCATTGGCAAGTCTAACATTTTTATGGTTGTTTAGGTATAGAAAAGCTGTGGAAAATGAGCAAATTACACATTGAAAATTAAGAAAAAATACATGTTTTCTTACAAGTTCAAACACTCCCCAAACTTCAGTTTTAAGCAGCCTTCTAGGTATTAATGAGCTGTTCCAGTAGGACTGTTCTTTTTCTGCCTGAAAATGATTTGAATTCTTCCCTTCTCTCTTGCCTTCTCTCACAGTATACATGTTCCTTTCCAAGTTAGCAAACATTTTCATATTTTTATTGTTTTTCCAATGAAATTGAGCTATGATATTGCTTAGGGAGAAATGAGTTTTTAGCAAGAAAGACTGATCTGAAGCTGTCTTCATTTAAGCAATATCACATTTCAGAACAAAAAAAGAACTAAATCGGCAAGGTCTGCCAGATTCACTGATTGGGATTTAGATTAACTGCTCTGTGTAAACATGAGTAGTCCAAGTACATCTCTTTTTTATTTCAGATTCTCCATGAATCTTTTTGTTTACCCATCAAAAGCTTATATATATGTATGAGCTACAATCAGTTTGGAAGGGGAAGTATTTTTACTTGTGAACTTTCACTGTGCTAGAAGTCAACAGGAGGCTGACTATATATATACACAGGTCTTAAAAGCAAATTTGTGCTTGATGCGTGCAGTTTGATGAAGAAATAAATAGATAGCCATGTACCTTGCAAAGGAGGATACCAGTCTCACTGAAAACCAAGCAATTCATCAATGCACAGCAAATTCTCAATGTTCTGCTTCAGCACCTTACTTCTTGAATTTATTCTCATGACCCATCCTGGAAGGCAGGATGCTATAGTTATCTCTTTTTTTTTTCCTAATTAAAAATTTAGTACATGCTAAAAAAGTAATTTCTCCCATTTTTGCTCTCCAAAAATATGATACCGTCATAGAATAATGATATGCCCCCATGCCCAAACAGATTTTCTTAGTTGCTTTTCTGTTAGGGGAAGACATTATGGATAATTTCACAAATACATTTATGAACACTTCTGTAATTCTTCATGATGAAATGCATTGTTACTTTGAAATAACCACGTGAATTAGCTTACTGGTAAATATACTGCAGGACATAGTCTGGAGTTGGCAGGGATACTAACTGGATGATGTAATGAATCTGCTCTTTGATGTTTGATTTCCATTCAATATATGATTTAATATGATTAATGTGCCTTTCTTGGCTGAATAAAAAACGGTCACTTCAAATCTGTATCTGAATTATTGCCCACTTTGGGACTGTAGAAAATATTGAGGACTAAAAAGGAAGCTCAAGAGAGTTTGACTCTTACCCCTTCATTTATTGCTTAGCTTAAAAGGATCAGACTACCTGCAAAGAGAAGGCAGGATTGTTGTCACACTGATCATCCTTTCCTGGACATCGTGTTCTCAATTAATTACTTATCATTGCAGCATGTGCTTAGTAACCAACTTCTGAATATTTGAAGAATTGGAACAGCAGCTAGTGAAGACAGCACTCGTGGGGGAAAGTCTGAGTCATGCACTGCATAGGAGCGTGACTTACTGAGAGCGTGTTAAATGAGAATAAATATGCCCAATTTGGAATGGATCAGAATGTCTGGGAGAGAGTAAAAGTGTGTCCCATGGGAGAGGAAGTGAACCCAGACCCAGAAATCTGGAAGATGAACAAGCCCAAAAGGGGAAGGGAAAGAAAGAAGAGAAAGGAAGGCATGGGAATACAAATAAAGTGTGGAAAAGAACAAAAGAGTTTCGCTAATTGTCATTTGGAAAGCAAATCTACATTCCTCCTCCATCATTTTTTCCACTCTCATCTACTGTTATTTAATGTTATAATGTTTGGATTTGTCAGATTTGGAAACCAAGACTCTCCAAGGTGTGAAGGGTGAAAACAGCCTCAGCTCTACAGGCTCCTTCCTCATGGACAATTCTAGTATCGACTTCCAGAAGTTTCCTGACAAGGAGATTCTGAGAATATCCGGGCCTCTCACTGCAGACTTCACTGTCAAGGTGAGGGCCATTGATCAAATACATCTCTTGTGGCAAAATAAAACAGGAAATAAGGTCAGTACATTAGAAAGATGAAAGAGATTTTTGTAGAGTTTAATTTGTCAACAGACATTTACCACAGAGCCTAGTGCAGGTTGTCTCTTGAGCTCTGCATGAAATTCTTTATCAGTACCTATCTTCATTTGACACTCCTTGGAAAAGAGACTGATTTTTTGCCAGGGAAGGCATACCCAGTGTGTGCCCTAAAGAGAAAATATGAACATTTTACAAGCAAAGGCAGATTATTTTCTGTAGATGCTGTTTTAGGTAGGTATAAGTTAAAGGCCATGCAGCTTGCTTAGTTTGTGACAAGAAGGAAGAAAAAGAGTCTGTCTTTTTACTCTGTAATTTGTGGGTTTTTTTACTAGCGTAATTGCACAAAATACTGTAATGGAATGGAGAGTGAGGTCCCTAAGCTCCAAAATAAATAGGATGACTTTGCTTGAGAAATCATGGTGTCATTTTGAAGTTCTGCTTTGTGTTGTACTGGCAATAAGTATCAAATTGTTTCCTCCCATTAGAGCATTTCTGTTCTTCCAGGTAATATAAAACACATTGCTGGAAGCAATACACAGATTCTATAAGAAAACACACATACAAAAATGAACATTTCGGAATCACAGTAAAATAAATCCTTTTTCAGTGCAGTCAAGGAACTTGAAGGATTTCAGCTGTGAAACTCTAAAACCTATATCATGTCCAAGCCTACATAAGTTTTTTACCACAGGCCCTAGAGACAGAGGACATTTGATTCAACTTGTAGTGATGGCAGCTAGAATTTTGAATGGTAAATTTGAAAACACAATTAGTGATTGGATTGGATTTGGAGTTTGGAGTTTGGATTGGGTGATTTGGAGTCCTTTAGATATTGCTCTAGCAGCATTTTTGCAACTTCTAATATAGAACAAGTCTATCAACAAAAGTGAGTGATGAACAGAACCACAAAAAAGCAAGCTGAAGTTATCCGCACAGATTCAGAAAGAGAAGTTTGACCTGAAGAGTACACTCCTGGTTTTTTTCCAGTTTAGAATGAGTGTGTCCCAACAGAGCAGATGCTGGTCAGTTCAAAATCACTAGAATACTTCATAAAATCTTTATCTGTATCACAGATGACATCCAGATGATGAAAATGAAATATAAATGACATAAATATTCTGACTCAGCTTTACATTGTATACTTAAGACAGCTTGGTTAATTAGAATATTCGAACTATAGACATGTAGTTCAGTGGATTGTCAAGTCAGGTAGATCAATGGATTGGTCCTGAAACGGGTATCAGGGAGGGTAGACTCTGTTCCTGGGTTTGCTGTTGTTATCTCCCTTGATTGGAAAAACACCTTTACCTCGTCTTGCTTACACATCCTTCTGAATCCAGGGAGGTGAGACGTGCTTGTTCAACTACCATATTGCATTTGTATGCTAAGTGTTTGGACAGTCTGAGCGCTCAAGCTGGCTAGTTGCTGTCAGACTCAATACTGCTGTGTTCTCTCTACCTTTCTATCAGTGGTGTCTGTTGGTACAGTCTGTCTCCTCAAAACAGGTTTGGTTGGGAGAGTGTAATATCCTAGAGAGCTTTACCTGTCTGTCAAATACAACTGGAATTAAACAATACTTGAAAGTAACTGAGGTGGAATTTAAGCATTCTTGGTTTTTTTCTGGCCTTTTGCATTAGCAACTTTAATAATTTATAGAGGAGATATAGCCTGGCTGATTTTTGTGCCAGTGCTGTGAGAGGACTGCCATCTCTTGCAGATAAAAGGCAGGCTGTGTTCTCTTGAGCAAAGTTAACATTTTGGAATGTTAACAGATGTTAACAGATCAGGATTTTGGCCACCAATTAGCCAAAAAGTTATAGCCAAGGTAGAGGTCAGAGTTAGATGATGGCTTATAGAGAGTATGAGTGCTGGCCAGGTGCATTTTACCTCAGTTGTGACCTAGGACTGGCCAAAACTGCCAGGGGGAGAAGTGCATTTTTGTTGGAGCCCAGGTTAACAAATGAGATTGGAGCTTAATCCAGTATCCTAGCACTTGCAAGGGCTTGTAGAACCCGGTGCATGTGCAGGTGACTCAACTGGCAGAGGCTGATGGGCAGCACCAAGCTCAGGTCAGGATGGGATTAAGCAATCAATTCTGAACCAAGAGCACACAGTAAGAAGCAGAGTAAGAAATGGCCTTTATACTTTTTACATATAGATACATATACATATAGTCCTTTATACAACAAGGACTTGCTGTTTAAGGCTGGTTTATTGGATTTTAAAGCTTTTTCCTCATGGGAGGAAAGGAGTTATCAGTAAGGCACTTCTGTGTAGACTGGTTCTGACTCTGGAGAAGTTTTTCAGAGGGGGCTGTGCCTGAGATTTGGGACATGATTACAGATCAGTTGGGAAATGGGCCGGATGGGAAATGGCAAAGGAAATCCTATAAGCCCTGGTAGGCCAAGACTAGGATGGCGCTCCTAGGAGTAGATGAGGTAGAATTAAGATTGCGCTGATAAAAATAATTAGTAAGGGTTAAAGTTTAGTTGTGATTACAGTTAAGGTGACACACAAGAAGAACACAACAGTGTTCATGTTTTGTTAAAAATATTATTCCTCGGTAACTGAGTACTTCTGGGGTTTTGTTGTTTCAATCACATCACTTTCAGGAGTACATTTAATGCATGAGATGAAATATTACTTGCCGGGGCAAACATGATGATTATTCTCTTGGGGAACAGGTGGGAGGGAAAGGATATTGATCATACTGATTATGAGAATATATAGATGAGTGTCACAATTTTCTTACTTAGTGGGTCATATTAGGTTGGTGTCTTGAGTTTGTAAGAGTAAGGAGTTGTTTGAAGACAAGGACACAAGATTTTAGGAAAATTCTCTCCAGGTATAACATTTGTGTAAGTTGCAATGGTTCAGATATTCCAGTTGAAAATGGTACCCAATATTGGAAATGCAAGTCAAGGGTATTTCTTTCTGTCTGATAGTAGGTCTGTACAAGGGACTAGTGTATCTTGCTCAAAGGTGTATGCATGGGAGCATGTTACTGGTCGTGAAATTATCTTTCTATGGATGAGGCAGCTGTTAAGGGTGGTGTTTGTAGAAGAGATACAGGAGGACCCTTGTTGGTGTATTTGAGATTTCTCTTGGTTCTGTGAAGTTTCTGCTTCTGTTGCCTTTAGTAGCTGTCTCCGTGCAGCCTATAATACCTCTTGTAGTTGATATAATGGGTTTCCCTGCTGCCAGCTATCCTAGCCAATTCACTGTACGGATTTTCGGACTGCTTCTGCCTTTGGGAATAGTAAGAGGCTTTAAGAACAGGCTTGAACCTTCTGGTGTTGTGTTTTGACCTTGTGAGAAATTTATTTGAAATACTTTAATAGTCATCTTGACAACTTAAAAGAACACAGCCCTACCAAAGTTTAGTCTTCTTTGTTGGTGAGCAGGGTTGATTTGGGAATGTTTTGCATAGTCCCTGGTAAACTGGTAGTATGTAATGTGATTTCTCTGGCTGATTTAGAGGTTGGATTGAGGAGTTTCCTCTGTCTTTCGTTTAAAAATAACCTCAGAGGACAGATGGCCCAACCCAGGATTGTCACAGTTAAGGGATATGAATCCAACAGCCAATAGTAGACATGTTTCCTTGAGCTCAAAGGCAAAGTTCCCCTCAGGATTGCCAGGGAGTTAAAAAGCAAATTCAAAGAAATCATAGTGTGATTCTGGTTTAGACAGTTTACCTGAAAGCCGTCAGCATCTCTACTGATTTACATTTTTTCTTTTATTGTTATGTTATTTGAAAAAAAAAAAAAAAAAGGAAAATTATTTCCCATATCTGGCTTCTACTTCTGCTTCATGAACACATTATAAAGAGCAACAATGGCATATCCTCATTCTCTTTCAATGAAAGACGTCACTACATATAAATGGGGATGTTAAGTAGAAGGGATTAAGTAGAAGGAAAGCATTATATATAAAAAAAAACTCTTCTTTTTTTAACTGACATGAAAAGCACAGAATTACATTTGCCACATGAGGATAGCATTCTAAATCTTCATCCTCAGTTTCTTTTTATGTCGTTTAGTACAAGGCTTCAACACTGCATTTGCATTAATAAATCAAACCTGGTGATTTACCTGGCATTTGTCAAAAATATCTATAAAATGCTGCATAAAAAAAACTGTTACAACTCTTTTAGTAGATATGATGATGACTTAGAGCATATTATATCAGATACAACTTCACAGGAGAAAACATAGTAAATTAATGATTTCCTTTCCCTGTCCCTGAGTGTGCATGATAAACATACATACAAAAGAAATAAATAAGTTGTTTCTTCCTCTTTCAACACTAGACAGTTTCATAAAATAAGAACATTAATGCATAATAACATGCAATAGGAACATATTGCATATACCATTTAATATACACCTTCAGTGATTTAATCCTACTGTTAATATTGATAATTTTCCTATTGGTGTATAGGGAAAAAATGGATTAATACAGACTGTGGCTTAACCTCCACAAGTGTCAAAGTAAACTTAGTGCAGTTTTGAAAGTTAGACATCGTGCTCTTCAGCAGACACAAACAAAGGGTTTCTCACTGTCAAAATCAGAGGTTTTGTTTGTTTTTTGTTTGTTTTTCTTTGTGTGTACATATTCAATCTAAGGGCCATAGGAAAAGCTTAGCACAGTGCTAAGGTGATATTGAATATTGCAGTTTAATGGCCTCAAATCATTCAAAACTATTATGCTACTTTTGTATTTCAAATATCAGGTTTACTGATTTTGTTTACTTGTCTGTAGATATTCCTAAATGAATATTGTCTTTTATTAAATACCAAACTGCACCATTCTAAACAGCCATTTATGAAAACAACTTAAAAATGCAGTCTGTAAAATACTTTTTTATTCAAGTTCTCTCTAACTAAAGACAAAGAAGAAAAAAATGTCCAGTCACCAATCGACAAGACTGTTAACTTTCATTGGAGTCTGACTTTGTGAGATTGTCGATCCCTATTTGGATCTTTTTTTAGCCACAAACTGGGGAGTACTGTTCTGATGTTCTGAACCCCGAACTCCCAGAAACATAGGGGAAGTCAGAGTTGCTTCCACTGGAGTTACAGTGCACAGAGCCAAGCTGAACTGTCATTGCCTTCCCTTGATACTCTTAGAATTTTACTTGCAAGATGGTGAATGACTGTTATTTTCTGCATTTTAGTGACTGAGGATACAAAATAGTTGCAGAAAAGATGCAAAAAAAAGTTAGAGGACCCCCTAAAAGTTCAAGTACTGCAGAATAGCCTGCAAAGTTAGCAGAGTTTTGGAGAAGAGGTTGCTAGGCACTGCAAGGGTCAAAAATTTCATGATAGTGCAGATGTGAATATTTCTGTAGGCGAAAGTTGGCCCTATACTGCAAAATCAGTATACTTCTTTAAATACTTAGGTATCATGCCTCATTTTCTGAACCTTGCAAGGCTCAAGCAGCTGCTGATATTTCCTCCTGGATCAAAGTCTTAGCTTTAACAAACTATCAAATAAAATAAAATAAAATAAAAATTGCATGGAATCGCCATGTATTGGTTCTTCTTTACTCCTTAAAAAAAATAAACAGTCCTGTGTCTGCTTATTTCACCTTGCTTGTTTTGTATAATTTTAGCTCATGGCTGAAGCTCATTGTAATTACAGTTTTGCAATTACAATTGCTCATTGTAATTATTTCCCACCTATGTTGGTCATGACTATGTCAATCTCTTCCACTACAAGCTGGAAGAGATTTGCATCTGCCTTTTCTCTGTGTCAAAACAGACAGATAATTCTGCAGACACACAGGAATTGTCGCGGGGAGAGAGGCTCTTGCATCTTCCTGACTTTTTATGTGATTTTTTTTTCCTGCTCTTCCTTTTATATTGTAGGCTCTGTGTGAGCTCTTGATTTGTTCATCATGATTCACCAAAGACCACACTGCTGAGCAAATCTTTTGGTTTTCAGAATCACTGATAGTCCTTTAAAGCTAAAGGAAAAGAGCTGAGTTCTCCCTAGCAAGGTCTTTTTCTGCACACTCAGACCAGGGACCTCCCTGAATGGCTTCCAGCACAATAGAACATTCTCCCAGGAGTGTATGAGGTTTTCATGAACTAAGAAGGATCTTTGTGAAGTGTGTGATTAATGTACCATCCCTGCATGAGGAATTAGATATCCTGTTTCTGACACACAGACCCAAATGATATTAGTCCATGCTAAAGGCCTCCCATTTGCTGAAGAATCTGTATTTCTACAGCTGTATTTTTTTTCCTGTTGGGAATTTACATCACTGTTTACTCTAATTAGAAAAAGACAGCCTTAGTCTCGGAGGGCCAGATTTCTTACAACCCTGAACATATCCTCCGGCATTTTTGTCTTCCTCCTTTTCTCCAAGAGTTTCTGTGATTTGTAATCATGTTTCTGTCCATGCACTAGGGAAAACACAACAAACAACCAGATTACTCTGTTCAACTCAATTTGTCATATTTTTGCTTCTGTTTTTCAGTGTAATATATTATCTTTTATGGTGTCTCTCAGTATTTGGAAAGAGAAAATGAAAAGGAGATTGAAAAATTATGTTTCTAAGACAGGGGAGTCTTGTTGAAAATGTGGGGAGGGAAAAAAAAAAAAAAAAAGTCAGAATTGAAACATTTTAAGCCGGTCTGAAGAAAGGACAGGGACAGTCACTTTTCAGAGTAGGAATACATAGAGAAGAATACGTCTTTCATGGTTGTGATTTCTCAGTTTTCCATCGTGTCGTGTGTATTCTGTCCCAGAACCATTTTTGATTTTACCTTTGGCAGGTGCTCATGGAAAGGGTTAGAGGTAAGGACAAGGACTCGCATGAGGAGATTCTGAAGTCTCCCTGACTATACTATATGGAACTCTCCCTGACTGTACTAAACAAGAAAGTTTTGTTTTCCTGGTCTGGGTAAAAACCAACCCACCTTAGGAGAGAAGGTCTCTTTTTTTGTTGCACTACTTGCACTACAAATTCTGCCTTAAACTAGGAAATCTTTTTGGCATGCAAAGTACCTAAAGAGCCATCTGCATATTCAGTTAACTTCAGTCAAGAGTCCAAGCCTATAGCAGAAAGGAGGATTTTGAGAGCCAAAATGAAGTAAGTCTAGGTACTATAAAGAAGAAGGATAGAGACCTTATCTCAGAAATTAAAAAATCCAGAATTAGAACTTTTATACCTCGTATTTTTTACAGCACAACCTCCTATTTTTATCTTACCCACCTAATATATTGTACATGGTCTCAAAAAGTGCCTGGGAATGCTCTAACGCCTATTAGAATTTTGCAGGGACAGACCATACGTAGGTAATCTGATGGAATTAAAAACAGATCATATCCTTTGTCTCCATAAAATTATTCAGTGTTCATCTCTTCATTACTTCAGAACATCATGTGTAAAACATCATTAACCAACAATTTATTCCACTATAGTGTCTGGTGAGGGTTTTGGTGTTACAACCACAAGCTCTATTATTTTGTGCATTTCACTTTCCTATTTCAAAGTTCTTCTGGTATTTCATATAGCGTCTGGTATCTGCAAGATGCTTAGGGCAGGATGTTTCTACCCGGTATTTATGTCAGGTTCACCCTCTGGTATTACATCTCTTTCAGATCCGTTATGCTGGTGAAGCTGACAGTTCCGTTCAGTTTATCTTCTACCAGCCAATCATTCACCGTTGGAGGGAAACTGATTTTTTTCCTTGTTCAGCATCCTGTGGAGGAGGTAATAAATTACCGTTGTATTCCATAAACAGTCACTTATATACAGGATCTGTCCCAGCTGCTAGATCGGACCTTTAAAATGGACCAGATTTGAACATGAGCACAGCTATATCTAAATGAGAAGAAGGATGTAGTAGCAGTGGCATTGTCTGTGGGTTTTTTAATAGCATAAGAAGCTCTGTATTTAGTGTCCAAAACACAAGTGTCTACACTTAGTGCTATAGCTAGAAAACACAAAGATTTTCAGCCCTGGGCCTCACGGGATTCGGGCTTTTGTTAGCATCAAAAAATGCCTCCTTTCTCCATTTCTACCCATTCCCCATCAGTAATTTTACTCTTCTGAAATGAAACTAAATGTAAACTGTCTGAGAAATCTGGGCCTTTAGTTTCTTTTTCTCCTTCACGCTTCTGAGTTTGTATTTGATTGTGTTGATTATCTTTTGTTTCTTACTGCGTGTGATCTAAGACAGGAAAAGTCATGTTTCTTAAATGTCTATTAGTTCCCTCTTAGGCTTTTGGAGGTATCTGAAGATACTGCCTAGTAGGATGCATGCAAGGTTTTGCACTAAATTTTAGCCCACTTCTGACAGGTTGGAACAGTGTGGATGTTGTTCTGCTGCTGCTCATGAAATGCAGAAGTCATCAACATCAGTGACTGGCCATATTTTTCTTCAGTCTTTTACCAGTTTGAGTCACATTAATAGCAATAACATCTATAAAAAGATGAAAGACAAGCTGCTTTTGCCAGCAAGTGGTAATAGTACATAATGTTACTATGACTTAGTTTAGTGTGTGATGATTTTCCTGGGAAATCAAGCAAATTTACCAATTTGGCTTTCTACCTATTTTTCTACTTCTCATTTGGAAAATAACAATTTAATGGAATGCAAAAGGAAATAAATCTTTGCCAGTAAATCTGTGAAAAAAAAAAATATCACAGCTTCCTTTGGAGAAGCAACAGCATTGTGAAAGTGTTGACACAGGTATTGCTTTTGTGATGAGCCAAGGGAGGGGAGACAGAGAACCAAAATATTCTTTCTGCTTCAGCAGAACAGGGCGAACATTTGCATGGTAGAAGCTTAAAGTGTGAGAAATTCATCCCCTACCATGCACATTGAAGCTTCTGATACCTAAGTGTCCTCTGTGTGGAGCTGTGAATTCTCTGAATGCCTTTTTTTTTTTTTTTTAAATGAATGTGACCTTGGAAAATTGGCCATAACGTGTAATTAATCCTTTTTTTTTTCCTGAGTCATATAATTCAATTGCAGTCCCACCAGGTCAGGACTAGCTTTTGATATGTTTTTGAACATTATCTGTTATAAATGAAAAATAGATATTGAGTAATAGCAACAGCTATGTGAATTCTGAATTATATTCTTTTGTGTCACTGCAGTTTTCAGAAAAGTCTATGGACAGATACTTTTGTTGCTAATTGGTATATGCGCAGCTTCTTCAAGCCTGTGTTCAAACATGTTTTGTAGAGCTGGTGGTGGAACTGCTTTGAAGATCTATAGAACATCAATTTCTCTAGTAAATTTCTGCTTTAGTATGTCGAAAAAACCTAATGTTTTCAGTAAGCTTTCTTTAAAACCAGGACTTAGATGTATTTCAAAGACGAAGAGGAAGAACAACAACAAATCATGTATTCTTTATCTCACTGGTTATTGCAGGTTATCAGCTGACATCTGCTGAATGTTTTGATCTGAGAAGCAACCGGGTAGTAGCTGATCAATACTGTCACTATTATCCTGAAAATATCAAGCCAAAGCCAAAACTTCAGGAGTGTAACCTGGATCCTTGTCCTGCAAGGTCAGTCAGTTCTAAGTTTCAAAGAGACCAGGCTCTAAACGAGTAAAATAGAGTGGGTAAATATTCCTCTCATTGTTTATTCTACTGTAATTCATCCTGTAGTGTAGTTCAGACATTTTCTCATAATGAAGATGTATTGTTTAGAAAATATTTTATGTTTAGCACCTACACATTATGAATACTGAATTTGAAATGGTTGTTTCTTCCCTCCAGATTATGTTTTGCCTCATTAAGCAATGCAAAGTGTGAGAAAACAAATGGCCCATGATAACCTCCCATGATCAACACATGCCTCTTAAGTGTTAGTGATACGTGAAAAATTTTCCTGGGGGAAAAAATGTTGCTAGAAATTGGTTGTCATCACAGTTAGAGGCATTATTTTTATGTTTTTTACACTTTCCCCATGAGTAAAAGATTGCTTGCAGTTATGGCAGCTTGTAAGAATGTGGTAAAGGCATTTTTTCTAATTACCGATATGCTTTAACCTTGCACGGAGAACGACTCTCTACTGCCCTGCTCAGCAAACTTTTTCATGACAGTAGCAAGACAAAAGTAGCAAGATCACGGAGCTAGACCTCCAGCATATCAGAGAAGGAACAATTGTAACCACAGAAAAGGCCAGAACTGTGTTGCACCAATTCCCCTGCAGTTCAGCAGAAATTGGCCTACAACCACTCATAAATCAGAAGCATTTATTTGTGTATTCTGAACCTTTCAGTCCTCTTATGTGGCTTTGATGAAAAGACTTCTTCGGACAGATAAGAAAAAAAAATGAACTAGCAAACAAAAACAAAAAAGGGAAAAAAATCTGATTTTAGAAGATTCAGAAGTTACAGTGGCCCTTCTAGGGCCGTGTGGGACTAGGAGCTGTGGGACTATGTGTTGTTTGCCAAAGGTAATCACTTTCCAAACCAGGAGTACTTGCTTTAGCCTAGGTAAGCATTAGCAGAGCAGAATAAAACAGTCCAAGCTCAAGATCATTTTTACCTCTTCATCTTCAGAAAAGTTTTCATAAATATCTCTTGACTATTCATACCTGAAATTAACACTGAAGTTTCTACATCACTGATTTAGCTGAAGTGCATGGCAGTTTGTATTAGTTCACTCCAGTAAATGCATCTGGTAAATAGCTTAAACAGAGCATGTTTAATTACTTTGGTTGCTTAAATGTGTTAAGAGTTGGATTAGGATCTTTACTGTAATAAAATCTTTTTCCTCAGTGATTTTCTCAAGGGACAAAATCTGTTTCTTTTATTTTGCTTTTTGTATATTTCAAAACAAAAGTCAATGAAATAGAGGTCAGGTCTGATCAAATGTGAGACATAAATATAAAAGTCTCAGAGACAGAGGCCATTAAAAAAGACAAGGTAAAATGGCTCCTGTATTTTAGATTCCCTTCTCAGTTAGGAATGAGAAATTAATCCTATGTAGCTACTGCCTTTTCTTTTTTCTTTTTTTTTTTTTTAGCTTAAACTGTTTTTTTTTTTTTAAATGCCATTCTACATCATATATGTAATTTACATCTGGAATTTATACTATGGATATTTTCCATACTTTCCCCAATAATTTTAAATAGTGTCAATCCTAAGACAGATGATTGCATGACACGTGGGAGGGACGGGAACAAAAATAACAGCTGGACAAATGTCAGGAAGTAATTTTTGTTTTATATAAGACATAATAAGGCAAAGTTGTTGCTATAAAGACCTTGGGGGGAAGGAGAGTCATTTAGAAATAAGCCTCTGCTGTCCCAGGGTACAGGCACTAACAGTTAGGAATTGGCTTTTTGGAAATATCCTCACAGAATGCCAAATTATGAATGATTATTTTCAAAAGTGCCTTTGTTAAAGAATTCAAAAATCAACAACACAAATGAGAAACCAAAGCAAATTTGTGGTAACTGCTGGAATCTTCATGCTTTCTATGGGTCAGGAGGAGGGTAGGTGAAGCATGACAATGGTGGTTAGGGGTCTGAGGATGTTGTCTCAGCTCTCCGACATTTGCTCTGCTCCTCCAGCATAAAAAGATTACCATTTTTTTTCCTGATAAAACCAGTTTCAATAAAGTGTAAACGATTAATGGTTGATGACCATCCTTACTATAAGATCATGAGTGGCATTGAATAAAGAAATCAAGAGGATTTTGTCTAGGAGTATTTACACTAAAGCTTTTGGCAAAGGGTGGCCTAAGATAAAAGTAAATGAATACTAGAGTATTAGTGGGGCATGCAATTGTCTCTTTAAGTTTAATGCATAGAAACTCTTTATCTTATTTCTCCCATTTTGGCAATAATTAGCAGTATTGTTGACATGTTGAGTAGCAACAAGACCTTGGAAAGAATGTAGAAAATGATTCAACTTTTCACAGATGCAGTTTCTCACACATCCAGACAAGAAGTGATGTGTGAAAGTTTACAAGCCCACTGCCTGGTCCAAATCTATCTGGCAAAATGCAACATTCAGGTATCAACTTCTAAGCTAATTATTAATCTTTCAACTATACAAAATTTCACAAGGTGGAAGGTTAGCAGAAGGGTTTTTAGCTGTCATCAGTACCATGCTGCCTAATACCTTCTAATGAAAGGTGAATGACATTTTTTATGCTGCAAGAAAGTAAGTCTGTTTAGACTTGACTTAACTGGGTTTGCTAAGCACATCGGACATTTCTGAGGTGATATAAACTGAACATAGTGTTCCTACTTTCATATTTTCATAATTAAAAGTCATCCCTCCAAAAATCAATTTTTGAAAACACATAAAAGGCTTTGTCTTCACCCCTTGTTCCCAGATAGTCGCTAAAAAAACATCAGTGCTGCAACTAGTTGTCATCTGGAGTTCTTAGTTGGCATTTCCAGCTGTACTCCTTCGTACATCTTACGAGTATCATCTGTTTTTATGTGCCATGCCTTTCGCTGTAGCGTGTTACTGTGGTATCCCATGAGTCAAAAAAAGAAACTTCAATGCTGTGTAAAGACTTCTAAAGGTATCTACAGCAAAGTTTATACAAAACCATGTATAAACTGTCTCAAAAATTTCATACTAGCAAATCTATAACATTTTGCCAGTTTAATCTGCACTGGCAAAAAAATCCTGGGATTTGCCTAGAGCTTTTTCTGTATGTCAGGTGGCAGAAATTACGTTAGTTCCTATGGAAAGTTTTTTGAAAAATACCTAATTCAGGCAAGGTTTTCCACACCCAGATATCTGAAAGAATTTGCAGACATGCATGGTTTATAGAGTCCTCCAGCAAAATTACGATCTCTTCTTGTTCCTCATCAAAAATGTTCCCTTAGAGTTCTGATTTACTATCCCTACTGGTTGGTTGTAGAGGAAAACATGAGCAAAACAAAATTTATCATCAGATAGAGGGGTCCTTTCCTTGTCATTTATTTTTAGCCAATCTAACATCAGGAATGCATTACAATGCAGCACAACTTGAAGACAGCTAAAATGGCATGGCTATTCTGAGTAACCCGAGGACTGAGAATTCTCTTTATAGAACAAGTTCTGTGTGATCTTAGGGCTCTATACACTTACTGATATGGATATCTATACCATTTTCTGGGCCACAGTGCAGATGATGAACCTTTTGTACATTTCAAATATTAAAGAGAATGGAAAAATAGTAATTAATAAGTCTGTATGTTTAAAAGGCAACATAGAAAATCTTCTTAATTAATAAGAAAGGTCTTCCCACTTGGTTACAGATTGACAGCTGATATGTGAAACTGCCCAATGCATACTTGCTTGTTATCAACTTCTCTAAAGGTGTTAAAGTTGATAAAAATTGTTAGACAAGAATCACAATAAAGCTGTGTTTCTGTTTTCACCACATTCTTTCTTGAAAGATTAATAGAATTAGAGTGCTGGTAAATTTCTTAAAAGGTTCTTATTTACACGGTAGTAACCATAAATATGCAGAGATGCTGTGGTTTTGAAATACAGCAACTCATTTATTGTTATTTCCCTCCAGTGCTACATATGATAGATTTAAACTTTGCCTTGAATATTCTTTCATATAAAATATCCCATAGTTACTGCAGATAGTGGGCTTTTGACAACAGACCAGCTTTTTGAATGGATGTGAGACACTGGTCATGCTACTGTCCTTTCCTCATCTCTGCCTCGGGCAAATGGTCATTTTTGGGGCTTGGGTCATTTTTACTTGTTTCTTAATTTGTTGCAGGGTGTTGAGGGAGGTTTTCTGCCTTGTAGTGTTCTCTGAACTTCGGTTGCCTCTGGTAGCCGGGAGCTGGTCTCCGTTTCCACAGGCAGTCTCATCAGCGTGAGTGAGACAGAAAGAACCATTAACAACAAACAGCAATTCAGTGTGGAACACAGAGAATGGAGCCTTTTTCTCCTTCCTGTTAAAACAGAAGTGAAAAAAGGCTTTTACACAATCTTGGCTGAAGCTGTGCGTGATAGAAAAGTTAGACTGATATTAGTGAAGAGTGTGTCACCTGAAACTGAAAGAGCCAATTAACATAAGTTGTTCCGCTTGTAAATTAATGGAGAAAAGTATTTGAACAATTCTGAAGTGTCTGAGAAAGTACCAAGGCTGTTGGAGGAATGAGCTAAAATTATTCATTGTGCATTAGAAAGGGGTAAAAAAGGCTTACAAGGTCAAAAAGGTTTCAGAGCAGCAGGAAAGGAATCATCGGGGCATTTTTCAGGAAAGATGAATTGGAAGTAATCATATATTTGCATAGGAATGACAGTGTCTATGTCTACAGATATTGGAAAAGTAAGCAGAGAAGTCACTGAGAGCGGTGACATTATTCTGGTTGTTGTAACGCAGGTCGTCAGAGTTCAAGAGTAGGATAAAGGTCACTTGCGAATACTGCTAATGCTTTAGGAGGCAATTTTATTCTCAAAACAAATAGGCAAGAACTAAATCTTTTGTGTAAGGCAAAAGGTATTCAAATTAAGTTAACAAATAACTTTGTCAGAAGAGGCAGGAAGGTTAGGTCAAAATACACTAGTTGAATAAATTCAAGCTTTGTTTATGTTAAAGAAAGACATAAAGACAAAAAGAAAGACTGCTGAGGTACTTCAGATAACAGTCTGTAAGCAGAGAAGTTGATTTTGTATTTCAGTGAGCATCAAATAGAGATATCTGTCTATCCAAGACAAAATTATAGGAAAGGTGATGGCAGTCTATTTTAATTAAATCCTAGAAGAAACCAAAATTCTAGCAAGTAGTCAGATAGTGAGTTACAAAGATACTTCACTGTTCAGATTTGCAGTGTATATTCAGCTAATCATGTAGTACTAGAAAATAATAACAGATTTCAGTTTCTGTATCAATCACTAGCTATCCAAAAAACCATAAAATGTTAAACTGAATGAAAATTGGAAACTTCTGTGCATTCCATTTTATTTATTTATATTTCAAATCTTTTAGAGGAAGAATCCATCTAGCTCACTCATCCACTATCAGATATATTTTCTTAAAAAAAAATCCCTTTCTCACTTTTGAGATTAGTCTTTAACAGTTCACAGTAATGATAAGCAGACCATACATTTCTTACAATTTGAAGTCAATGCACCACAAAAAAGTCAGTGTCATTTATATTAAAGATGATGCATTACTGAAGCTGTTTAAATTATGGAGTCTTTCTGGAGGCTGACACAGAAATACAGCTTTCTCAGTCTTTTGCATTTTTTAAGTATGTTTTTAAAGTACTCAGTGACTGCCCATTTTGAAACTTTTTAGATAAGACACATTGGCTTTCTCTGATGTGTAAAGCTCTTTGGGTATATAAAAGCACTGAAGACAGAGTATACAAAGCTCTTCAGGTCAGGTTCCATGCTGGCAGAGTGCAAGGCATGTGCCTTACGACTATATCTATTTCAGGATTAAGTATGGTGATCCAGAAACCACAAATGGAATTGATGCTGCTAGCATGGTTTAGAATGACGGTGCCACTATATGCAAGAGCCAACAACCTTGCCTGAAAGTATATTGTTACTATAGATATAATCTAGAAACAGTGATTTTCCATAGAAACAGTGATTTTAAAAGTAACACATGAATAACGTTAACAGAGGCTGCCTTTTTAAAGGTGTTGGTGTCCGTTTTTCAGGGCAGAACGTATTCTTGCAGTAAAAGGTGACTGTCACAGCAGTGTGTTTATAAAGCACCATGAGACAAGGGTGTAGTGTCACATATTGCCTTTGTGACAAGATTTGCAACGATAAATTGGGACTGCTTCATAAGCCTGTCCTCCCTTCAGTGATAACTATGCTTCTCTGGAGAACTCTGGATCATAGGTATATGTATGTCTTACATGCAGTCTACCAAGCATTTTCCTTCAGTTAATTAATGAATTAACTGTCCACAGCCAACTTCTTAAGCTGCTTCAACTTTTTATTATTAATGTATTTATCAATTCCAATTAGTATATTAGATGTGCTTCACATTATTGCTTAGAAGACATAGTCACTGCCCAGCAGATTGTTTTTTCTCAAGTCACCCAGTTTTCAGTTTTTGCTGTACAAGTGCCCATCAGAAAACAGATGCAACAGTTCCAGGGTTCTGGAGCACATGCAGGCATGCAGCCCACAGCACAGCAGACAGAATCCCCCAAAAGAAACAAAACACCCACTAAAGTGAATGGTATGAGCCGGAGGGTAGCCCATGGGAGCTGGGGCAGCACCAGGACTACAGAGAGCAATAGTCCCGGCATGGAGGGAAGCAGCTTTGAGGCTGCTTGTCCTTGGGTTTCTCTGGAGTCAAGCCACAAATACCAAGAGCTGAGAAGAGCTGGTACATTATCTGAGAGACATCAGGTAGCTAAGGGAGAAAACTGTCCGAGATGATGATCAGTTGCCCTAAGAGGGTAGTTTATGGAGGTAAATAAGCTAAAAGGAAAGACAACAGCAAAATTTACAAGAAACGAAGCTTGCGGGCATAAGTCCCAGGGGAACCAGAGCATGTGAAGAGATAGGACACCTACCTCTGACATCCACACTTTCCATTCCACCTTGGAAGAGCAATTGTGCTGAAACTGCCAGCATTCAGGAAGAAAACAGGGGTATAACGTTTGCAGGGTGTATAAACACCTTGTTGATCTGAGAGACATGAGATGTCAGAAACAAGAGACAAAAAAACTCTCCAAAACCTGCTTTGTGCCCCTTGCTCCTGCAAAAGCAGGTTTGTACTGTCTATTGAGTGAATAAATATTGTTTGCAACTCCCACAACAGCCAGGAATTTCAGAGTACTGCAGCAATAGCTGTTTGCTCTTTCCATTTTACACCTATGATGTGCTCATCATCCTACATCACCCTCTTTGCATTGTCTGAGCAATACACAGTGAACGAAGCTGAAGTCTAGATCTCTTCCATCTTTTTGTAAAATTATGATGGATTGATAGGGGCATGGAATTTAAGTTTTTCTGATCATTTAGAAAGTACAAGATTCATCAAAACAATCTCAAAGTTTTTTTTACATGATTCACTTAGGTTTATTTTTGGGTGTATGTGTGGAAAATACTAGACTAAATAGTAGCTGCTGCTAATGGTATAATGATCATCTGTTACTTATTCAAGTTGATTTTTGAAATTTTAATTGGTAGTCATCAATGCAAAATTAAGAAAGAAAAAAAAAGATTGTCAAATATTGACTAAAGTAAATACTTTCATTTTAAAGATCATGCTGAGGTTGGGGGTCTTTTTTCTCTATAGGACCCATAGGACCTATAAGACTAGAACTTACCCTTCTGGAGACCATTATCTTACCGTGACAGAATCAGTGTTTGGCAGACTTTCGCAAACGTACAATGATGATATCAGTATTCCATGGAACTTTATATTGTTTGTAGTTTGTGGATGCAAAATTCTGTGAGAGTCAAAGCTTTCCAATGACAATATTAATTTGGTCCCTTTTTAGTGCTTTGCAGATGTTATTTAATTTCCAAACAATGTTTGGATATGAGTCAGTTATTTCTATTGGAATGGCCTTGAATTTTCTGAATTCTAATGCATGTAGCAGCAGAAGACCTTGATTATGCGTACAGACTATGTTTATTAGAAAATAACTTTTTCTCACTTTGAGGGAAAAACAGGCTTTGAAATCTTTTCCTTTCTTAGATGTTATAAGTTTAGGTAGTGTAATTATTTTCTTTCTGGCCTAGGTGTATTCATCTTTTTTTTCCCCACCAATTCCTCAGCAAGCTGATAAGATGGAAAGTGCAACCAGCTTCAGATTAGAACTTCAGCATCAGTGCTCAGGAAAGGTGCATATATTCCCAAAAGTAAAAAAATATCACAAAAGGTCCCCTCCTGAGTTCCTAAAACATTGCTGCAGAGTTTTTCAAACTTCTACAGCCATTTGTCAGTCTTGCTTACTGATCATACAGAGCTGCCTTTTAGGGATTTTCAGATTTTGTGGAAACAGGCAGCTCTGTGTACTTGCAGATACACACAGCCATGCCCACACTCCTGTGACTGTAGAGGCTGCTAACCTGACATGGAGCAGCCCTGTCCCCGTCACGCACACTCTCGTGCACTCAGCATCTTCTAATGCATTAGCTAGAAAATTCCTGCACGCTGACCTAGCACTGACTCTTCACTGGGAAGCACAATGGGATCTATTCTTCTATCATAGAAGAATTATGCACATAAAAATCCTACCAACTGAAAGGAGAATAGAGCTCTTTAGGCTGGGCTTGACAAGACTCCTTTGAATGTTTAGAGCACACTTCAGTGACCTGTGTTGAGGATGGAGAATACTTTCTCCCTTTCTCCTTCCTGGCTTTCTTCTCCTTACAGAAACCCTCAGCAGGACACCTTGCACCTCTCCTTTGCACAAGGCTTTCAACACCCAACTCCATCCTTTTCAATCAGTTTCCATTGTTTATTACTTGAGCTGAGAGAGAGCTTTTCATTTTAGTGTGATTGGCGTTAACCCTTTCATGGCACTGTCCCAAAATGCTCCCCTTGAAGTCCTATAGCACACAGTGGTGCTGATGAAGCTGTTATATATAAGGTGCTCTGGGATCATCCATTTGACACTAATTAACCAGCCCGATAGCTGGGAGAGGAGGTGGGTAGAGAGTTGCTCTGGGTCAGAATCCACCAAAACTACCCCTCACGCAGTGTGTGAAATCCCAGACTAGCATTTGGGTGAAACTACATATTTGTCAATATGTTGTTAGAACTGTCTCATACATAACTGGCATAATTCTCATTAAAAAAAAAAACTCTTCACTATTGCCTATTAAAATATTTAGACATTACATTCTATAGATATTATAATAATAATATCCTATCAAACCAAGCTAGTCAGTCACCACAATGTCAAAAAGAAATCTTCAATCCAGTTTCTTTTTCAGAACAGCTCAAATAAAGAGGTAAGATCTAAAGATGAATAAAATTTGACGACTTTAAGACAGTGAGGCATGAATTGCATCTTTGAAGTCTTGCACTTGGGATGCCCTCAGTTTCTAACCCCAGCTCCTGTAGAAGCAGACATTGTATCTGAAGGGCAGAAACAACCATATTTTAGTTTTAAGAGAGTTTTATCTTGAGCTCTCTATAGCTGACAGAAGTTCTCTTATTGTCTTCAGGGAATCTTAAAGAGAAAATACTGTGTATAGGAAAACTTATTTTTGAGGAAGAAAATCATTTTGTCAATTTGTGTAATATTAAATATAAACATAAAAATGTATAAAAAATAATATTTGGGTACTTCAGTTGAAAAAATGTGTAACAACGCTTAGTCAGACAGTAGTATCTTCATGAGAATAAAATATTAACTGGTAGTTTATCCTTGGAATTACTTGCAAACAGCGAGATAGGAGCGTATGTTTGGCTTTAAATGTATTAGCAATTTAGGTAAAATATTCTTGATTTGGGATTTACTTTGTGATACTGTGTAAAAAAAAAAAAAAGTTGTATAATGTAATCATCTAGTGTTCATTTTATTATGTGTACCTTCTACTCAGAGGGTTGGCATTATTGTTCCTAACAGTGATGGATACAAGCAGATCATGCCCTATGACCTCTACCATCCCCTTCCTCGGTACGTAAAACAATCAACCAGATGCTAGGATTAACAAACACATTTATTGCTTTTTCTCATATCTCCACATTGTGGCTTTGTTCTAAAATGAGGATAACACATGCTTCTTTCCTCTTGCACTGAATTGTCTTGCAGATTAACTCTGAGACGCTCAAATGCTAATGTGATGCTATAAATTCTGCTGATACAGAGATGAAATTATACCTTAGCGGGGGCAGTAATGCAGCTTCACTGCGCGCATATTCCCTTTCTCTTTCTCTACCTTTTTTCTCCCTTCTCTTGCTTTTCCGTCTCCCTCCCTTCTCTCATCTCTGAGTTGGACCATAGCCTGAGGTTTGTATTGAGTATTTCTGTCTGTCTGATGGTGTTTCTCTTCTTATTTCACACTGTGTCTTTGGGTGTAGTATTCCAGACACTGGCCTCCCACTTTGTGCCTTAATGTCTCTTGCGTAGAGATGATGTGCTTATAAATTGGCAGTTTTTAGTTTTAGAAAGTGTTAATGTTGAGGCCTTATCCTGAAAATATGTGTTAACACCTTCGCTGGGTGCCCTACTCCTTTGGCTGCTTTAAGAATTCAGAGATCAGGAGCAGGATTAGAATCAAGACTTGATGTATATGACTCATTATCTCATCATTAATGTATTTAATGTGAGAGGATCCACTTGAGATTCTCAAAATAGTTATAAGAGTAGTTTCTCAAACACCTGTGAATAGAATGGATGATCAAAAGTAGATGAAAAATAAAAACCGTTTGGTTTTGAAAAACTGTCTGAGCATGCATGGTGCTTCATTTCCTTCTCCATTAATTTGTTGTGCTACTGAGTCTCCTATTACTGAAAGCAACTTCCAGCTAATGTCTCACCCTGCTGAGGAAATGATCTCTCCTAAACAATGGTGAGGCCCAGTGCAGTGAGTTCTCGTGTTTGAGTACACAAACACAGTGCATTCAAATTTGATGCAGGCTCTGCAGAGTCGTCCCAAACTGTAATTGAGAAGACAAGAAAGAGAGGCACCTACTTGCCACGCATAATGGCTCCTGTTCATGCTGGAACCTCCTGTGTTTTATGTCATTGGGATATATATGTCAAGTAGACATGGTTACCCTCCAGTAGTGTTCAGTTTATATTTTCTGTGCAATACTTCTTTCCTTCCTATATAAATTCTTAGGAACACAGAGTTGTTATCTCATTAAATACTCATGAAATATGCTCTTAAAATGTATCACTGCCTCTTATTCCTTTTTTTTTTTCTGAAAAACCTTTTTTTTCCTCAGGTCTTTCTTAGAAAGAAACATATCTTCTAACCTCATCCTTCTAAAGCTCATCTTATAAGGAATATAGAAGCTAGGAATTAAAGCTCATCTTATAAGGAATATAGAAGTAGGATATTAATATGGAGTTTAAGACTCCATCATTGATTTAACCAGATTTTATTTTAATTGTACGAAAAGGTCACGTATATTTACAAAAGAGAAAAAGAGGGAGAATGAGAGAATCACAAAATCACAGAATCGTTGAGGTTGGAAGAGACCTCAGCAGATCATCTAGTCCAACCCCCTTGCTCAAGCAGGGACAGCTAGAGCTTGTTGCACAGGGTCACATCCAGGCAGATTTTAAGGATCTCTGCATAAGGAGACTCCACAGCCTCTGTAGTTTTCCACAGTGTGTTCCAGGGCTCTGTCACCTCTACAATGAAGAATTTTTTCCTCAAACGTAGACAAGCCTTTCTGGACTTCAGTTTGTGCCTGTTTCCTCTCCTTCTGTTCCTGGGCAGTGCTGAAAAAAGTCTTTCCCCATCCTCTTTACAGTCTCCCTTCAGATATTTATACACATTAATAAAATACCCTTGCTTAATCTTCTCCAGGCTGCAGAGTCGCAGGTCTCTTGCTTCTTCCTCATAGGACAGATCCAGTCCCCTGATCATTTGCATAGCCCTATACTCTCCAGTAGCTCCACATGCCCCTTGTGCTGGGGAGCCCAGCACTGCACGCAGCACTCCAGATGTGGCCTCAGCAGGCCTGAGCAGAGACGAGCAGGATCACCTCCCTCCACCTGTTGCCAGCACTCTGCCTAATGCACTCCAGGACAGCATTGGCCTTTTTGGACACACGGACCAATTGGTGCCTCATGGTCACTCTGTTGTACATCAAGACACACCAGGTCCTTCTCTGCAGGGCTGCTTTCCAGCAGGTCAATCTCTAATCTATCCTGGTGCCTGGGGTTATTCCTCCCCAGGTGCAAGACCCTGCACTTGACCTTGTTGAACCTCATGAGGTTCCTCTCTGCCCATCTCCCTCTTAATGGCAGTACAGCCCTCTGGTGTATCAGCCATGCTTCCCAGTTTTGTTTCACCTGTGAACTTGCTGAGGGTACCTTCATCCAAGTCATCCAGGAGTAGAGTTTCTCCAGAACAACTGTAGATTAGAGCATGAATCAGCAGCACTTGGCAGTTCAAGGATGTATTTAAGCTAAAAGCATTTTGAGCTGGCCAGAGGACAGAGTTTTTTTCACAGCTGAAGAAAACGGAAAATGCCCTGGGATATTTGACTTTCAGCAACCCTGAAAGCAAAAAAAAAAAAAAATCATTCCTTGGAAATGATCAAAGGCCTGAAACTGGTTCTGCAGCTATTCTGGGTTATGGTCTCACCCTGTAACTGTCCCTTTACGTCCAATCTCCTGGTCACATCTTTCTCTCTTAAAGGCTCTTATTAGAAATTCAGGGAGCAACTGCTGGCTGGAATCTCTGTCCCCTCCGTTTCTTTCTGTGATTTCCCAGCTGCTGTTGCTGTTATTCCTCCTTTTCAACTGCCACATGTTCTCCGGTGAACCCTCAAATGTAGCTCAGGTATTCCCTTTTTGCCCCAGAGAGGCATATATCCTCCAAAACTCAGTGATGGAGACAGCAGAAACAGAGCAGACCATGAGGCTGGCACAATACAAGACCAAGTCAGGGGAATAAAATGCATTTCCTCTGAATTTGCAAAATTTAAGAAAAAAAATTAAGCAAAACAAAAGCAAGCCAAACATACTCTGGCTGTGCTACCTGTTTGGTGAGACTGGCTCCTAACAACAAGGACAGAAGATGAAACTCATCCTGAAGAGGTAGAAGTAGGGATGAGTGGATACAGTGCTTGCTTCAGTGGTCTCTGCCAGATCCTAATTCTAGCAGTTCCTTTCACATATTCTCAGACAACACATCGTCCTTTTTACATCACAAGGAGCTATAACTTCTGATTTAAGCAGCAGCGTGGCAGAGAAATTTTAACTTTCTTGTCTTACACCAACATAAAAACTGAGCACCAAACTCCTTGCCTAGATTTAAGATGCTTTATACTGCTGAGCTAGCACTAGGTGTCTAGAAATTTGTCCCAAAGACAAATGGAGAATGGCAGACACTATACTTTTATGCATGGGAAAAGCTAGCTGAGGCTGGTTTCAGCAGTTTGTGCTGTTAATAGGTTCCAATATGAAGTATCTACATTTAGATTAGTCATAATTAGAAACCTCAGCTATATGCTTAGAAATTTATTCACAGGTGTCACAGGAAACATATTTGAACATAGATATTGTTAGAAGGACCCATTTGCAATATCTGCGGCTTATGCAGAGCACACAATGGTGAATATATGGTGTGGTGTGAAAATATTTTCAATTCATCTTTGTGATACAATTAATCAGTGGGTTTATTTGTAAACAGATGTTTACAAGTCCTTTCACACACTGAGTTTAACAACACTCTCGACTATTAGCCAATAATACGTAATACGTCAAATGTACTGGAACTGGTCAAAATAAGATTCATGTATGGGAAGAAAAATCAAAGCGAATGATAAACATTATTCATATTGCTTAATATTTTTTGAAATCTGTTGGATTTTTTTTTAAAATAATTGTTTTGCTGTGACTGGGAGAGAAAATCTTCACCTTTGGCTTTTTTTTTCCCTCTTGCCTGAATGAGGAAAGAGGTAAGGGGATTTACATGAAATAGATTCTTTTTTAAATTAAAAAATATAAATTTGTTAATCACCATTTTAGACAAAAAAAGTTGTAAAAAAGTTGTCTTTTTTTTCCCCTTAAAGATTTTTTAAGTGTTTTCAAGTAGCTGATACATATGTTTATACTTTAAGACGTGTGTAAATCGATACAAGGTTATCCACATTGGCTCATGACAGTGATCCCATACCTTTCTCTAACAACAACCCCTAAAAAAAGGAAATGCCATTCTGTATTTTTTGCGCATGCGTGTGTACATGCGTAAAAGGATGTATACACAATTGTATATGTAATTCTCATGTAATACAGTACATTCACATAAGTATTCGTGACTTGTCAGAACAAATACATCATTCAGTTGTTTTTTTCATTATAGTTTCTAACATTCTTTCTGAATTCCTCTCACTGTAATCAAACGCCTGCATGGTTTCTACATCAGAGGTCATTTATTGTATCAGTCATAGCCTCACCTTCTCTCTTTTGAGAATTTCCTCCCTTTTTCCTTTTTTATTATTCAGTTGTGTCATCCAAAGGAAGAATTATTGTTTTCCACTTCATTTTAGCAAAAGGGACATTGGCTTCAGAGTTCATTGAGGTTCTAGCAGTTTAGGACAAAGATGTCTCAGAATGTGGGAAGCCATGTGAAGACATGATAATCACATCAGTTAATTAGGAGGAATCAAGTTAAAAGTAATTATAATTTCTGTGGCAGTCACTGGATTTGTAGACTAGAGGAGATTTCATGTTACTAATCTGTAACTTAAAAGACAAGAGCCAAAATCTTTGTTGTTACACCTATTTATAAAAACACCTAAATAACTTCTACTCAGATTAATTATAAAAAAAAACCCTGTAGATAAGAGGCTATACAACTGGGGAAGGAGGGCAAGGAGGAGTTCCTTTTTCTCTGAAGCCTCTGCTTTGTTTTGCTCTGTTCTCAGGTGGGAAAGTACGCCCTGGACTGCCTGTTCGTCCTCCTGTGGAGGGGGTATTCAAAGCCGCAGTGTCTCCTGTGTGGAGGAAGACATTCAAGGGCATATCAGCCCTGTGGAAGAGTGGAAGTGCATGTACACTCCAAAGATGCCTGTTGTCCAGCCTTGCAATATATTTGACTGCCCAAAGTGGCTTGCTCAGGAATGGTCTCCGGTAACTAGTTTGGCTTTGCTGGTCTTGTATTTGATGCATTAAGAGTACATCTTGGATTCAAAGAGTAATGCCAATAGTTTAGTGAGCCTGCCAATATAGAAATATTCTTTGTAGCTGTTTTCCTTTCTCGTTTTTATGATCTCTGTTTTAAATGATTCTGTTTGTCTTGGTACAAAGTAAATATTCAGAATTAATAAGAAAAGGATTTAAAGATTAAAGAGAATGATGGAAAAATAAATCAGATCTGTCATGTTAATTAGTGGTCCTCTAGAAAAAATAAACTGTGAACACAAATGAAATGCACAAAACAAAAGGAATAAGCTTTTCATGGGCATGTAATGGTATATCTTTACTACAGCTCTCCAGCCATAAATTAAGTATTATGAATTGCTAAGAAATGGCCAGAAATGTGTACAGCCAGAACTGAATCTCCTTTTTGATGCATTTGTCCCTCTAGCTTGTCTGTTCCTGACTCTGTTTTACTTTTTTAAGAAAGTAGACATCTGGAATGAAAGTCCTGTGATGGACCTTTTGTTCATAAAGACTTGCTCCTGACACAAGTTTCTTGTAGACTCAGTTTTTCAACAAGTAAAATTTTTAATAAATAAATAAATAAACAAATCTAAGATAGGTCACCCTTAGCTGAGGTGTTCTTGCTGTTTGCAAAGTGTTTACTGATTACCAGATGAAAGCTACTCCCTAAGAGCAAAGTAATATCAGTGGTATCCTAGTCCTCCCTATGTGTTGGTACTGTTGATTCCCTTCCATCCAGATGCTTCTGAAACTTTCTGTTTAGGAGGAAAATGAGATGTACCTTACCAAAAATACATGTGAGGGAAAAAAAAATCTTAAGAAAGTGTTTTGAGGAAGAAATTCCAAATAGTTTCCCATTTTGTTTTGTGCTGTATTCCAAAATAGCTGAATGTCACCCTTGCTGACCCATAAGCCCCACTACTTTGTCCAAGCAGAGCAGAGTGGCTCTAGATGAAAATGACAGGGTGTTTTTGAGCATATCCAATATGAGACAGATGGCCACCAGCCAACCAGCCAATGCTGAGAGTGACACTGCAAGAGAAACAGAGCAACAGATTTCCAAACCAAACATACCTGCTGAGCAAAAAGGGAAAAATATGTGTCAATTTTATACCTTACCTAAAGCTACCCGGTATTATGAGCAATCTAACATGAAGATAGGGTGCTACTGCTTAACATTTTGTCCCACAGTTTACACATCCTTCTGTTAAATATACCCATTTTATTTTCCACATGTGACACACCATGCTCATTCCTTCATTCCTTCTGTTTTCTTTCAGTGCACAGTGACGTGTGGACAGGGGCTCAGATACCGTGTGGTTCTTTGCATTGATCACAGAGGGATGCATACAGGAGGCTGTAGCCCTAAAACAAAGCCACATATAAAAGAGGAATGCATCATACCCACTCCTTGCTACAAACCCAAAGGTAACGAGATAGAAAGAGTCTCAGGAATATTTGTTTTATGAGCACTGTTTCCTTTTGCACTGAATTCTAAAGTTATAGCTTTAAGGTCTGCCATTCTTAACCCAGTTTGCCTGATAGCAAGGTGGAGTGAATGCCAGTCCTTTCTGCTTTCCTATAAATGCTAGGACTTAAACTGTCCATTTGTGCTGGACACAGACTGATGTCTAAACAATGTCTAAATTTGACTTTTGTGTAAGCTGTATCAGACTAAATCTAGCCCATTTTATTAGAGGAATTTAATGTATAAATAATACTTATGGTAGATGTTTAAACTATAGGTTTAAATAGTCTGGAAGCAGGAAAGCTGCTTAGAAGTTGGAGGCTTGAAATAAGTCAAGCACTGTATCCCAGTGAGAAATTCTTTCCTACAAGGCTGCAGTTTGACAGACTTTCAGACTTGAAGCATCTTATAATAAAAAGTACTCATTTGGTTATAGATTGGAATGCTTCTTGACTTGGGCCTCACACAGAGAGTAACATATTGATAAATTTTTCACATTTTTTTGAGAGAAGGAGAAAACATTTCTTCAGCATTATTGCTACATAGCCACTGTTTGGATCTTCTCACGGGATAGGAAAGTTATAAAAGGTCCTGGAGAACAAATTAATGGTCAGAGGATAGTTGCAGCAGTTAGAGGTATCTAATGTTTCAGTTATCACTTGGTTCCATAGATATATTTGTGTATGTCTGTGAATATAAATATATATGTGTGTGGAGATAACCTCTGTTGTATAAAAATTGACTAATTTCTGAGCTACAGTAAAGCAGGTTAACTTAAATTCTCTAAATTGGAAACTTGTCATGAGAAGATCTTGATGACTTCTTGCAAAAATGAATTGCTATCCTCGGTAAGTATTAAGAGTATTTATTATGAGGTCTTGTAAAATAAGAGTGACCTGCAACCTCTTGTGAATCCAAGACCAAAAAAAACTCAAAATTTGGAATTTAAATTTCTATACTCAGTGTCCTATGATGAATGAACTTGTCAAGTTTAAAGATTCCAGTTTATTTGGAACATGAAAATCTGCTGTACCTGCCAGTCACAAAGTGGTGAAGCCCAGACTTTTGGCCTCTGGGGAGTAATGGGTATGTTTTCACTGTATACTGCATACCGACATGAGCTCACTCTGTTCCTCTTCCAAGCTGAAAAGAGCCTGGTGGATGTGTTAGCATAATCTTGAGCCTCCTCTGCACACCTAGTGGCTTGGGCTCAGTCAGTCCACTCCATTTATGGGTCTTTGTTTATTGTGTTCAGAGCCAAGGCAAAGCTAGCTCCTGTATGCCTGCTGTATATAGTGCGAGCGTAATGCAGTAGGACATCAGAAATGGGGTAGTACAAACTACATACAACTTGCTTCTGCCAAGGAAACTCAAGAAGGTGCAAGACCATCTAAGAACACCTTGCTTGCTGTTGAAAAGTTTCTTCCAGGGACTCTTCTCTGTGAACAAAGTCCATGGCAATTTATTGGAAGCAGATTCTTGCAATGGCATGGCAGCTTTATCTTGGATAGATTCTTATACTGCCCTTAGCTGTGCAATTGTAATTCACTTCTGATTGTAGATGGCTATTTCTTTCTTCCCTCTTCTCCCAAGTTATACATGAAGCTGTTTTCCTTGATTTTTGTTTGTTTGTTTGTTTGTTTTTGGTGTAATTTTACTCCTTTGCAATTCTCTCATAGTTCTCCCTCTTTTAGAGTGCAGGATAATATTTGAAGGCTCATGTACCTGCATAGCTGGCTGAATCATGCTTTCAGGGGAGAACTGGACCAGGCTTGGGGCAGAGCAGCTGGAGAGCTGTGCAGCAGGAAAGGATCAGGGGGTGCTGGTCGACAGCTCGAACAGGAGCCAGCCATGTACCCAGGTGGCCAACAAGGCCAGTGGCCTCCTGACTCCTGTCAGGAGTGATGTATCCAGCAGGACCAGGGAAGTGATCATCCTGCTGTACTGAGCACTGGTGAGGCAGCACTTCGAATACTGTGTTCAGCTTTGGGCCCCTCACTACAAGAAAGACATTGGGGTGCTGCACTTTGGTGTACAAAGAAGTTCAATGAAGCTGCTGAAGGGGCTGGAATAGAGACCTCATAAGAAGCAGCTGAGGGAGCTGGTGTTATTTAGTCTGGAGATGAGGAGGCTCAGGGGAAGGTTGTAGTGTTTCTACAGGAGGTTGTAGTGAGGCAGGGGTCGATCTTTGCTACAGAATAACTAAAAAAATAGGACAAGAGCAAAGGGCCTCAAGTTGTGCCAAGGGAGGTTCAGGTTAGATATTAGGAAAAAAAATCTACACAGAAAGAGTAGTCAAGTCTTGGAACAGGCTGCCCAGCAAAGTGGTGGAGTAATGGTCCATGGCAGTGTTCAGAAAACATGTAGATGAGGCACTTAGGGATATGGTTTAGCAGGCATAGTGTTGAAGGGCTTACAGTTAGACTTGATGATCTTGAAAGTCTTTTCCAACCATAATAAGCTCAGGAAGTGTGGGTTAGATGAGTGGACAGTGGGATGGATTGAGAACTGGCTGGATGGTACAGCTCAGAGGGTTATGATAAATGATGCCTGGAGCAAGTGGTGTCCCTTCGGGGTCAGTACTGGACCCAGTGCTGTTCAATTTGTTTGCTTGGATGAGGGCACAGAGGGCACCCTGAGGAAGTTTACAGATGACACCAAACTGAGTGGAGTGGCAGACGCTCCCGAGGGCTGCGCTGCCATTCAGAGAGACCTGGACAGGTTGGAGAGTTGGGCAGAGAGGAACCTCGTGAGGTTCAACAAGGACAAGTGCAGGGTCCTGCCCCTGTGGAGGAATAACCCCAGGCACCAGGACAGATTAGGAGTTGGCCTGCTGGAAAGTAGCTCCATGGATAGGGATTTGGGAGTCGTGATAGACAACAGGTTAATGATAAGGCAGCAGTGTGCCCTTGTGGCCATGAAGGTCAGTGGGATCCTGGCCTGCATGAGGAGGAACCTTGCCAGCAGGTGGAGGGAGGGGATCCTGCCCTTCTGCTCAGGCCTGGTGAAGCCACATATGGGCTCCCCAGCACAGAGGGACAGGGAACTTCTAGAGAGGGTCCAGCATAGAGCAACAAAGATGATTAAGGGACTGGAGCATCTATCTTATGAGGAAGGATTAGGTGAGGTAGACCTGTTTAGCCTGGGGAAGAGAAGACTGAGAGGAGATCTTATCAACGTGTACAAATATCTGAGGGGAGTATGTAGGGAGGATGATGGGGCCCAACTCTTCTCAGTGGTGGCCAATGACAGGATAATGGGTACAAACTGAAACACAGAAAGTTTCATCTCTATATGAGGAAGAATTTCTTTCCTGTGAGGGTGACAGAGTCCTGGAACTGGCTGCCCAGAGAGGCTATAGAGTCTTCTTCTCTGGAGATCTTCCAAACCCGCCTGGATGTGACCCTGTTCCATGTGTTCTATGTGTCCCTGCTTGAGCAGAGGGGTTGGGTGAGATATCTCTAGACGTCCCTTCCAACCTCACCCATTCTGTGATTCTGTGATAATGATTCTGTGGTTCTATGCTGCTGTGAAATGACCCCTGAGGTCTCTTTCAATTCGATTTTTTCTTATTCTGTGCTGGAAGATTATCTGTTTATTTGGTGAATCCAGTATCATAAATTAAAGGCAGTAGCTATTGCAAAGATTCTAGTAAATATTTTTATCTAACCTGAAGTTTCATTCTGGAGCTGGGTAACCATCAAGAAAATATAGGATATCCTTAGGTTAAGTAATAACTTTTGATTTTATAGGGGATGTGTACTAATTTGATACAACTTCCTACATGATATACCTCTTAAATGTTTTCCCTTTAACTGTCTTATAAAGAGAGAGAACTTCCATTAATCTTTCAAATTAAACTTCCTTCTTTTAGCTTGTGCTAGGAATTTGGGTGAAGGGAAGGGTTCTGGGTTCTTTTTTAGGGTAGGGAGAAAAGAACACTGTGAAATATGAACATTTTTAATCTTTCAATTTATTTTAGAATACTAGTGATGAAAATAGACTTTACCTGCCTCTCCTGTTAAACAGGCACCTTTAAAAATGAAAAGTTATTTAAAAAGCCACATAGCAGAAAACTACACAGAGAGCTTTTGCTTTTTACAAGCATTTACATCCAAGGAAAAAGCATAGTAGTAAGATCTGGCTTTCTAAAAGTCGTAAAACAAGCTGCTGAGCATATAAATAGAAATATCTCCTGCATATTTTGGATAACAAATGCCATAAAATGTAGATTAAACTAAGAGCTGTACTGGCAAATATTCATCCTTAAATGGCATTAATAAATATGCTAGAGTAAGAACTTGGCAAGGTATTTCTGGGGGAGAGGCATAATAACTGTATTAATGTCTTTTCTTTCCCACTTAAAACTTACTCCTAAAAATTTGCTTGACTGAAGTTGCAGTAGCTGTGAAATCAACTTGTAAGTTATGATTCCTCAGTGTTCTTACTGACATTATGGAAAGTTTTTTGTGCTTATATGAAATTTTTAGTATTGTGTGCAGCAAATTTACAGAAAATTCTCAATTGTTTTGAATAACATTAATCTGCCCTCATTGACTAATCTATACCTTGCCTAAACTTAAAAGACTTAGGTGATTTTTGAGTGGTGAATATACCTAGCCCTGATTCTCTTCAGTAGTTTGAGTTTCACTCCTCTCCTCTCCTCTCCTCTCCTCTCCTCTCCTCTCCTCTCCTCTCCTCTC